TATTAGGAGGGACCAGTCCCAGGAGAAGGGAGCACTGGTGGTTACTCCGTGGGTTGGCTGCTACCTACAAGTCAGCAGTTTGAAACCACCGTCTATTCTTTTTTTTTTTTAAATCATTTTATTAGGGGCTCATACAACTCTTATCACAATCCATACATACATCAATTGTGTAAAGCGCATCTGTACATTATCGCCCTCATCATTCTCAAAACATTTCCTCTCCACCACCGTCTATTCTGCAGGAGAAAGATGAGACTTTCTACTCCCATAAATAGTTAACAGCCTCGGAAACTCACAGGAGCAATTATGCTCTTGCCTGTAGTGTTACTCGTGTCAGAATTGACTCGACGGCAGTGAGTGAGTCCCTGAAGAAGAACATTATTCTTGGTATAGTTAGCGCGTCAGGGAAAAAGAGGAGGAGCCTCAAGGAAGTATATTGACACTGTTGCTGAAACAGAGTCAGTCATGGTAGCAGTCGGGAGGATGGCGCAGAGCCAGCCTATGCTTGTTCTGTTGTGTATGGGGCACTATGAGTCTGAGCTGATTGGATGACATGTAACAACAGCAGCAATAATTACCCAGAAGTTGCACATTCCTATTCTGGGACTGCCTGTGTATAATCTCAAGACATGTTATTACTGTTTTGTACATGATATATAATATAGTGTAACATATTGGCAAGTTTTTTAACCTTTACTTACCAGTGTTTACTCACAGGGTACCCTTCTGGTGATATGTTTACCAGCATTAATATAGTCATCTATGAAATGTGAATCATTTTGGCTTTGAGATGGATGATAAATGCCCTGTCCCTCTTATTCTTAATGTCTAGTGAGTATAAAGCAAAACATTCTTCTCCCAGTTATTCTTTAACAACAAAAATAAACATTTCTATGGAATTGCTGCTGCCATGGTATCTTTAAAAAAACAAAACAAAATATCATGAATTAGGTGAAGGTTTTTTATCAATAGTTTTATATTAGCTTTACCTTAACAATCCATATATATTTTATTCCAACTGCTCCATTGCAATCCCCTCAGTGTACCATGACTTCGCACTCCTCCCTCTTTGTTGTTTCTAGTCCTCCTCCTCCTCCTTTCCTAGCCCTCTGTACCAGCGGTTCTCAACCTGTGGGTCCAGACCCCTTTGGGGGTTGAATGACCCTTTCACAGGGGTCACCCGATTCATAACAGTAGCAACATTACAGTTATGAAGTAGCAACGAAAATAATTTTATGGATGGGGGTCACCACATGAGGAACTGTATTAAAGGGATGTGGCAGTAGGAAGGTTGAGAATCACTGTTCTATACTTTATCTTTGGGTAAATACTGGCCTTTTTTGTTTTTCATCATTTTATTGTGGCCTTGTACAACTCTTATCACAATACTGGCCTATTGATCTTAAATGATTGATTATTCTAAAATGAGGGTAGCCTGAGTTCTACACCTAAATGGTAACTAAGGGCCATGGTCGTAGTGTTTCTTCCACCAGTCAGAAAGCCTGGTCTCTTAGGGATTTGAGTTCTGCTCACATTCTCTCACGCTCTGTTGAGGACCTTCCCATGTGATGCTTTTCAGAGCAGTTGATAGCGGCAGCCAAGTACCATCTAGTTCTGGTCACAGGGGTACAGAGACTGATGTCTATGCGGTCCCTTAGTCCACTGGACCAAATGTTTCATGTGTCCCTCAATTTTCATCATTTTCCTTTCTCTGGATGGGAAAAAACAAATAGTTGCACCTTTAATTGCTGCCAGGTTACATTAATGATCTTACTGTAAGAGTGGTCTTGTGTTGTTTTGGTAATGTATTTGCAAATTTGGGGGTTTTGTTACTCTAATTGCCTTGTAAGAAAAATATAGGTATAATTTACCCCTATGTTTCAACCTGGAAATGAGTTATAAGTTGTGAGTAAAATCTTTACAGTCCATATACATTACTTCAGTGCAGTTTAATCTATAATATTGATATTTTAATATCATTCATGAACACCACTGGAAATTAGAAAATGATTAATGACTGCATTATGAACACAGAATTCTAGAACTAGAAGAGCCTTTAAAAAGCTCTCTGACTTATGCCTGCCATTGGATGAGTGCAGAACTAAGCCAGCCAAGACAGATGGTGCTCCGCCCCGTTCTCAGAAGCCCAGGTAGGGATGCAGTAAAGTAATTATCCAAAAGGCCGTCTTCCTTTACACCAAGGCCACCGAGCTGCCTGCTCTTTCACAGATTTAGAGAAGAGGTTTTAAAGTCTTCTCTTGCAATAATTGCTAAATCATCGGATGACCTTTTCCCGATTGAGCCATCCGAGTTCTTCCTCCTTGCCTTAGAGTAGTTGCAGGACTGAAAATTTAGCATTTTGAAAAAGAAGAAAGGCCAGCTTAGGTTAGAGAAGGCATTCTTAACCTGGGGTTCTATGAGTGTAGATTGGGGCTGGGCGGGGATTACACTTTATTTTCACTAACCTTGCTGAAACCCAGCAATTTCCTCCAGAGAGATAAGTGAATCTTTAACAAGGTAAAATAACCATGCTTCAGTGTAGTGTCCTTGGTCATCCATTGATTCATCTAATGCACTTGGAACCATGATACGTGGAGCTCTGGGCAAAGGTCCTTAGCAAAAGGAAACATTCCGCTCTGGCGAGGCCGTTTAGAGGAGAATTATCAGTTGTGCTTTGTTTCCATCTTTTTATCGTTGAAAGATCACAGTGACTATTGTGCATCATTTGATGGATTCCTGTACTTTCAGGTTTATGTGCAAGTTAATAAAGAAGCAGCAGATGATGAAACTGTAGCAAAATCAGCACATGAATTCTTCCAGCGATTGGAGCTGGGAGATGTGCAGGCACTCGCTCTGTGGCGGAAATTCCGAGACTTGAGCATCGAGGAGTACATTCGGATTTACAAGGTACTGGTAAACTCTTGCCTCCGCTTTTCTGTC